TGGACAAATTGGAGAGACATTGTTCAGGTAGACGGAAGATGGATGAAATGGAGAATGCACTTTGTAGTCTGGCTGAAGATACGATACAACTGAGCAGGGAACAGGGAAGCTGCATAGTCCCGCGGGTCCAGCTGGTTGCTGTGAAGTGTAGCAGCTGTGGAACAGGGGGATCCAGCTGCTGTGCTGATTCACCTTGAGACTGGGCTCAGGTAGTTGGACTGATTCAGACAGATTCCTTGTTGTTCTGATGAGCTCTTTAGTGCAAGGAGCACTTCCCTTGGTAGGAAGCTCAATAACAGAATGTGTGCTTATGGACAGAGCCGGGTTTAAGCTATCCTGGAGCTGATGAGATAATTACCTGTTAAGTGGAGGCAGGTAGCACGGACAGTTTGCCCAACCAAGTTCTCATGGCACTGGGAAGTGAGAACAGTTTTATATCAGCATAAAAATGGATGATTTTGTTTGTGGAGAAATGCCGTTGAGTAGAGCATTTTTGTATTGGTAAAAGTCTGAATAGTTACGTTTTTTATGTAATTGACAAATTGTATTAGGGTCTGAATCATTACTATTGATTGGGAAGCCTAAAACTCATCTCAACAGTACACAGTACACTTCTTACAAATGCCCAGTTAGAGGTAAGCTTTTCTCTACTTGTTAACCACTACTCGATCCATGTGCAACATTACATTGAACTCCCATGGGTTTTGAATCAAGACTCAGTCTTTTATTAGGGACTTTATCAAAGCTTTCTGGTAGTCTAATATATAGATATAGATAAATAATGTTGAATGCTTTAGTTTCATCTGCTGTTCCTTTTCATTGAAGAATTCTGGCAAGCAGGATGTTTCCTTTTAAAATTCATCTGGACTCTCATAAAATGAATTTTTGCAAGAATTCTTCTTTTGTAATTATGGAACACTCACTATCAACTTCAAAATTTTCATTGTGACAAAATCAAGACTGGTTGATCTATAGTTTTCTGTACTAGTTAGTTTTTTCTAACTTGTGTAACATTTGCAATTTTCCAGTCTCAGGGTAAGGAATCTTAGCCCATTGCTCTTTAGGATTCTTATATTATTAATTTAAATTTTGACTATGTTTAAAAGCTAGTTAAAATTGCATATGACACAAAAATAGGGGGGTAGCAAGTCCAGAAATAGCTACCAAAAGGGAAAGAATTAAGGGAATTATAAAAATATAGTCAATTTCATGGATTGGGCAGACAACATGTGCAATATGAAGTAGTTCAGGTGGGTGGCTGCGTCAGCGTGCGTAGGCTGCAAAAGAACAAGTAATAGGTTTATTCTATGCTGAAAAGAGAAGAAAACACAATGTTTCGGCTCCGCGACAGAAACGTTGCGTTTTCTTTCTTCTCTTTTCAGGATGGAATAAACCTATTACTTGTACATGTGCAATATATTGTACTTCTCTTTCACAATCAATCACAAATATAAATTACATGCAAATCAAATATACCAGTTTTGTGTTGATACAAAAACCTAGCCATACAGCACGACTTGCTGTTAATATTTGGGCTAGGCGTTAGCAAGAGACAGATGTATGTGTACTTTAGAAAATAATGTAAAGAGTTACAAAAAGAACCTGTGCTACATGGATCAGTTAAACTAACCTGAGAGTTTTACTCTGAAACGTGTAACACTTCTACAATTTTTTAAGTTACAAACTACAGTTGTGACACTCTGTTGGGTGTGCCATAACAGGATAACCTTTAAACTAGTCGGGTCCAGGACAACAAAACTATATCAAACAGCAAAACAGAAGAGCTTTTGTAGTCTTCTGTTCTTTACAGTCATAACTGGAGTACAAAGATACTTACCAGTTTTCCAAACTCTTTTCTCAAGAATTCTCACAAAACATTGTCTCAGTCTCTGAAAGAAATAGAAATCTCAAAACTTAAGGACAACCCAACATCTCAAGAACAGTCCTTTCTCCTGTTATTTTGCATACAGAGGTTCTTCCCTCTCTTTCCAGGCAGCAGATATCATTGAACCTGGATTTTAATTTCTTACCGGACCATTTGTCTTCCCACAACTGGTCAGGTGACTAAGTTCAGCAGCAGCTCATTCCCCAGAGGTCTGATGAAAGTGTTCCAGACAAGGCCGCCATCTTCACACAGTTAACAAACCCTCCTCCTTCTGCTGGCGACTTCTGTGTAACTCCACTATGTGTCCTGAATAGAAGCCCAGTTATGCTCATTGGAAATGTAGGGCTGTATGCAATGAAGTTCTTATAATAATGTTCTTTTATCTTTACAGGTGCAGAGAGACCTATCCCTAAATCAGGTCTGTACCCTGTATGGATAACAGCTGCAAATGTTTCGATCCCTGTTATTAGCACTGAAAATGATGTCTTTTTTTAGTCCAAAATGTAAAATCTTCATGTGATTGTATATTCACAGTGTACCTGGACTGAACAATGCCTATTCAAACTACTTTAGTTCTGTCAAGACCGTTACATTGTATTCTATAACTTAATTTCAGAAATCTTATAATTGTCCTGAAGTTTATTTTCAGTTGAAATCTGTTCTGGAGCAAAAAATTGTTAATGTAGGCACTTTAGAATATGTCTCAGTTTGGTTTAACTGATACATAGCTAAATAAATATGTTTAATACTTTCTGTGTTTGTGTTCTAGAACGACAGTGGGTGCGCAGTGCAGCAGGCAAGTCTTTCTGTTGATAATAAATGCATGATATAGTCTATCGCAGAGTTACTTCAAGTAATGCTGGTCTCCATCTGTACAGCTGGAGCAACTGAGATGAAGCAGTGAGCCATGCTCAAACTGACACCAGGACCAGTTTTTTACAAAAGCCAATTCACCTACTAACAGGTCTTAGTGGGAGGACAGCAGAGCACCCAGAGGAAACTCATGCAAGCACAGAGAGAACATGCAAACACCACACCAACAGCTCCCCAACAGCTTGAACCCAAGAGGCCAGTACTGTGTGGCAGCAATACTAACCACTGTGCCATTCTGCCACCCTTCTGTTACAGTGGATACGGTTACTACTAAACTAATACATTTTGAGAAAGCCTGTCACTAATTTGGCCTCCAGCTGGACTGACTGCACCTAAGCATACAACTAGGTGACAAAACAGCTCAAAGGGGTGGACATATCCCACGCCAAAGTGTGGCTTATCCAGCCATTTCCAGAAATATATTTTTCCACTAAAAACCCTTGACACCTGAAAGCTTTTTTTATTGTTTCACTGATATGGGGGATAGATATGTAGTTTGGCGTGTATATTTTTAATTTGTTGAGAATAGACAGAGGGGGAGAAAAGTATCCTGTGATATCACTATTTTAGGTTTAAATGCTTTCGTATGTCCTGATCTGTTAAAAAAAGGAAGTGTTGGGCTTTACTTCTGACTCAGCTGTTTTTGTTTCACTATCAAATTCTTCACTCTAACCTCCCTCCTGTCTGCAGGTTCCTGTCACCTCACACTGGACCCTAACACAGTACATTGCCTGCTGTCTCTGTCTGAAAAGAACAGAAAGGTGACAAGGGGAGAGAAGCAGCCATATCCTGATCACCCCGAGAGATTTGACTTCTGGCAACAAGTGCTGTGCGGCGAGGGACTGACTGGGCGCTGTTACTGGGAGGCTGAGTGGAGTGGAGACTGGGCTTATATTGGAGTGACATATAAAGGAATAAAGAGGAAAGGAGAGGGTGACGACACTCACCTTGGGCACAATGACAAGTCTTGGTGTTTGCAGCGCTGGGGTTCGAATAGTTCAGCTTGGCACAATAACAGTAAGACTGACATAACTGTGCCACTCACCAAAAAAACAGGAGTTTATCTGGACTGGCCAGTCGGCACACTGTCATTTTACAGTGTCTCTCCTGAAATAATGATCCACCTGCACACTTTCCACACTGTTTTCACGGAGCCCCTCTACCCAGGGTTTAGAGTTGTTGGTCTTGGCTCCAATATGTCTTTGTGTCAGCTGGAATAGCCGTCTGTGCCCTTCAGGAATTCTTCTGTCCTCTGCCTGTTATTATGGAGAGGTGAGGGACTTCATTGAGCTCTGTGGAACTAGTGATGTTATTGATTATGTGTTT